ATGTCATACCATCGACATCTGAGGTACGCCAGAACTATGAACGCTCCATGCTGTCCCATGAATCGAGGGCAGCTACCCTGGAGCACTTAGAGCCCTCCCCTGCACCCAGCGAGGGCGCACATGAGTCATCATCATCGGATGATGAAGATGATGATGATGATGATGATGCTACTCAACGTGCCACCCCCGGCCCTACTCAAATAAACCCCCCACCCACTTCCCAAAGGGCAACCACATCTTCTACCCCTTGCGATCAAAGCCATAGGGGTATTGAAACAGGACGACCCAGTCCAATCCATACCCAAGCCAGCCATCCAGAGGCCATTCATCGGGTCTTTGGAGTTGAATCAGCTGAGGAACCTCATATTCCATCACCCCTTTCTCAACAGAGAGGTGATGAAGAAATAAGAGCCTCATTGCCTCAGGGCTCGACACATTCCATCACACACACAGAAGCATGTGTTGCTTCTGACATTGAACCCCATGATCGTTCAGAGCGATCTTCCCTTCCTACACCACCCCCTTCGATATTTGATCTACCCAAGGGGACACACATTCGTTTCACTTATTCGGTCTCTGAAGCCGAGGAAGAGGAAGCGGATGTCACAACATCGCGAGATAGCTCCTCTCTTGAGGGCTATCAAGGACATGATGGAAGTCCTTCAAGACCCACCTTCTAGCAAGGTCAAGAAGGCTCCTCAGGAGCAGAGGCACAACCTGCAGCATCCATTGCTGTAGGGGTTACCCCACTTACTAATCTGGTTACAAAGGCTGAGTTCCAAGCCTTTATTGATACAGTGAAGCGGTCCTTAGAAGACCTTAAACTCATCATGCAAGGGATTGTAGACAACCAACCCTCCACCTCTACCTCTGACCTCCAACAATCTCTTACAATCCTACAACATCACCTCACCCAAATCGTAACCCTGACACAAGCCAACACCACCCACTTGCAAATGCCCCAACAAACCGTCACCCAACACCATAACACCACTTCTTCCCTAGCCACCCAACAAAACCAAGTCATCGTCCAATCCATTGCCACCCTCACGGCCCAGGCTACTGAGGCCGATGAGAACCTTACCTACATAATCACCCAACTTCAAACTATCCTCTGCAACCTTCACTCCCTATCAACCACACCCCTCCAGTCCCTCACCAAACACCACAACCACCCCCCAGTCCCTCACCAAACACCACAACCATCCACCACCTCTATCGATGCTACCCTAGCCACTCTCACCAACCAAATGGCCTCCATCTAAGACACCCTCACCCAACTTCCTGCCGCTATCCTCTCCCAAATCCCCCAACCCACTCCTCAACCACCACCTCCCTCTACAGGCCCATCCTTCGATGAAGCCTTCTCCTCTTTCACTGCAGAGGTGAGAGACCTAATAACCAACCTTCCCATTACCCCATACACATCCACCACCACCATGCCACCACCACCATGCCACCACCAACTTCATCCTCCACGACAGAGTTCGCCATACGAGCGGACTTGCAAGCTCTGTCAAAGGCACTGGTCTTATCTTTTAACGATATCAGTGCAAGATTTGTTCATCGGGCCACTCGTCCAACAATGGTTCTCTCCCAGAACCTGGCCGATGAACAACGGTGCACAACTTCCCTCCTCCAAACAATGGAGGCGAGTCAAAGGCAGACCTCCCTGAAGGCATACTGTGTGTCCACAATTACTGATCAATCTTCATATTAAGCTTCCTTCAATGACAGATTCATGGATTTAACAATAATAACACTATGAACACTTTATGAATATTGAGAGGAAAAGTCAATCCTCTCAATTCTGGTCAAACCTTCTATTATCAATGTAATCTTACAATTAGCTCCCTTCTCCTTCCAATTACAAAGATTAAACCATATTTATATGGTCAACCTAACTAACAAAGTCAAAGTCAAACTAGTCTAARAAAGTCAAACACGCTGACTTTACAATTATAGACTAAAATTTAATCTTTCAAGACGAATACAATTAACACTGATTTTTCAGTCCTAACATTCTCCCCCTTTGTATTCAGACTTGAAAGAAAATTCTGCGCTTTAAGTCCTTGTTTGAACTTTGAAACTTTATGCACAAAATGTCTTCTTCAAAAGAAATCTTTAACTTGAAATCTTCAAACGATCAAATGTTGAGAAAGATCTTCTAGCACTCCCCCTCGAATGTAGAACCATGGTGATCTTCTCTTTTGACGATGAAAATCAAAAATGATCTTCAGTAATGTTGTACAAGATATGATCTTCAAAGAATCTTCAGAAAACAAACTTCAGTAAACTATTGTGAAAATGATCTTCACATTCAATATCTCTCAG